TGGCTGTTGTTCAACCTGTTTCCCCTCCTCGGCGGCTTCCGTTTTTCATTGAATTTTTCCGGACATCGGTCCCTTCTCCCGTCTATCGCACCGTCGTAATCTCGTCTACGGCTTTCTATCTCGCTCTCTAACTCTCCTCGTGTTTGCGCTTATAGCCTCGCTGGCCGACGGCAGCCCGTCCAAAGTGTAAAAGCAGCCGGCTCAATTTCACGCCGATCGTCGATTATTCTTTATTGGCTTGGGAGCCTCTAGTGTTTCAAGGGCTAATTGACGCCATGCCGACCGCAAAGCCTCCTATTATCGGTTTGTCGCTAAGGTCGCAGCCGTAAAAGAGACAATTGTAGGCTTTGTTTGTTTGTTTATTGGCGCACGGCCAAGGGAAGGACGAGACGCGATTGCTCGGCCGCGTTGCTTTTACACTTTACGAGAGTTTCGACGTTTTCATCACAGGCCAGGCACACTGACGCCTCCCATCGCAACGTTCATTCGCCTCCTTCTCCAATTGGATGCGTGCACGGCGGCACGTACGTGTACGATCGATTTTTCCTGGCAGTCGCTCGACCGCGGGATATGCGCGGGCAATGGGAAATGCAGATATTATCGACCGCGAGCTCACGATCTCGAGAAACAATAGGCGTACAAATTGTTACCGGGGCTCTGCTCGTCCTGCGGGAGTCGTCGAGATCGTGAGGCACGAGACCTCGGCATCGGCTGCCTGCGAATACTCGCGTCTATCGGTGGTGAGCCGCGACGATGATCGCCGCGTCGTCGGCACCCCGCCACGCAGACAAGAGCAAATCCTATCGCACTTTTCCGGATTTTTTTTTTTTTTTTTTTTTTTTTTTTGGTTCATGGCAAAGTGTTTACGGAGCATTTTTTTTTGTTTTTTTTTTTTTTGTTTTTTTTGTTTTAAAGACGATTGTAATTTAAAGCAAGATGCCTTCCACACGATGATGTTAATGCGAACGGATAAGGAGGAAGAGGGAGGAACGAGGATTAATTTTGAGGATGAAAAACATGTGAGCGGGATTTGTTAGGTTCACGTTACAAATGTTGGGGAAGGTAATAGAGATTTTGGAGCAAAGTTGTCAAGTTGATCAGATGTTATTTCGCTAACGCACCGAAGCTTTCTTTGTATTTGTAATTGTAATGCTGTCGACGGTTGCGACAGCTACGAGCAACGATTCCAACGGACACGAATAATCCTTTGCCCTGGTGTTTATGGCTTTTATGTGCTTTTCGCACATAAATTGCGACTACGATAGTTGAGAGTGTCCCATAAATGTTTTATATGGATATTAAACAATAGAGATTACATCGGGCAGCTTTAGCATTCCATGGCTTAATCCGCCGGTGAAAATTGTATAAATGACGACGTTTCATTGAATTACGGGATAATAATAGTGTCGAGCTCCGACAAGCTCACGAGTTTCTTATTCTAAGCAGCTTGACGATGAAGGTCCGAAGGTCGCGCGCTGTCCTCGCCAATGTCCATGAAAATCATTATTAATCGATAAGTCGTGTGTGGCAAATAAGCGTCTAATATTGCGTTTGATGAAGCACGCGTGCGTCAAAGGGTCAAGTTCCACGAACCTCTCTCTCTCTCTCTCTCTCTCTCTCTCTCTCTCTCTCTCTGTATGTTTTAGAGTCGATCCCGTTTAATAGACTTGAGATACATTGTAGCTGCAGCTTGATCAGAGTTCGCGAATCGCGACGAGGCACAATGAGAAGAAGAGTGCCGCAGCAACGATGGTCGTGTGTCTACGAGGTCGACAACTGCTAACCGGTGAGCAATTATCGGTGCCGGAGCTGTCGCCGCCATGCTCCTCTCCGCGAGCACCAACAGCCCTTACACGATGAGTCGGCGCATCCCCAGATTTTTTTCGCCTTTCACCCCGCCCGACCAATGGCGTCTCATTGCGTCG